AAACCAGGGCATCTGGTGTTCAGCCAGAGGAGGAAGGCCTTCCCTCCTGCATGGACAGAACACAGAGACCCACCAGAGACCACTGCGACTGGACTCCGAGGGCAGCCTGCGGTCATCCCCGGGCCAGTGGCTGAGGACTGACTGTCCTTCAAAAGCCTTCCAGCGAGTGATGAGAAAATCCCCAGGAAGCCTGGGTGAGCCATGGAGCCCTGAGCTGCCTCCTATTTGCATGCAGTTCAGGAGAAGGAGAAGCTGTTAAAGGCAAAGATTTGAGCTGCACTGGGAGCTTTGGCCTTTTCAGTGGAGGGACCCAAGAGACTGCCTGTCAAACAGAAGTCTGTTCCTAAAACCACCTCGCCGAGAAAGCTGGGGGAGTCAGGGGGGCCGAGGCTGGAGAAAGGGGGAGTCGCAGGAAGGTTTGACTCACCTCCACCAAAATACAGCAAGAGGGGAGGCAGATGAGGGCAGAGAGGGAAGGAATAAAGGAATTCACGTGGCTCTGTGTCTCCAAAAGCATTTCCCTCTGGAGAGCGTGCTGTGGAGATGCATATATATATTTTAAATTCATTAATTCAGTTTTACAAATAAGAAAGTGGGTTTCTTTCATTTCCCCTGATTCCATCTTCCCTGTTCTCCATTCTCCCTGATTCTCTCCATGGTGATCCCACTGCGAGGCAGGCGTGGGGGAGCAGAGCTGAGAAGCGGTGGGGTGCGCTGCTACTTCTTTGCTCTCTCTCTCTCTCTCTCCTTTTTAAAAATCGCGTCAAAGCCCCTTTCCTTCAGTAATCCTTGATATTCCCTCAGGAGCTGAGTTAAGATTTAATTGTGAAATTTGCATAGTAACTCAGCAAATAAATTCTCCCGTCTCTCATAGACCTTTCACTGCAGAGGGCCGTTTTAGTTATAAATCACTTATTTCGAGATCTCAACTGCATCAGCATTTTGTGCCCCTGAGGAATGTGGAAAGGGGAAGAAAATCCAATGACATGCAGAGTTAGCGTTTGGCTTTCATTTCCTGGTGTAGGGCAGTGGGAGGCAGAGGCTGCATGGGGACAGAATAACAAGTGCCATCTTTGGACCTGTGGCTCCTCCAAGGAAAACCTGTGTGGGAACAGCCTGGCTCCCCAACACGTCCACCCAAGCCACCCTTCAGCCCATGGCAAGCTGGGAAACCCAAAAGAGATTTGCAGAAAGGGCACAAAGGTAGGACAGTGTGCTGGTTCCCTGCTGTGGACCCCTGCTGAAATCACCCACAGCCAGATGACCCTGGTAAAATGTGTGGTGCTGGAGGGTCAGGAAGATCACAGAGGACACTGTGTCCCAGCCTTGTCTAAGTACAGCTGAGGTCCTGGCTCCCATTTGGGACTCACTCTAGCAATGAGGTTTGTTTTGTTTTGTTTTCTTCCCTCTTTTCTCGGGCTGAAAATATTCTGGATCATTTCAGAATGTTCCAGAATGTAAATATGGTTATTTGGTTGAATCAAATAAAAACAATTTCACCAGAGCCCAGAAATCTCTTCTATAGCATCTTTGCCTATTTTAAGTTGGCATCACAGCGAGCTTCCTCTCTCTGGCATGCATCCAACACAAGCAGGCTTTAGGTTATCGAGGGCGGCCGCAGAGCAAGCCTGGGTTATAACAATGGAGAAGGAAACCCAAGGAAGGTACCGGAAAGTTTAAAGACAGGGGAAGGAGAAGCAGCTTTGATTATTCACCCTGGGAATCCAAACTCTCTGTCCAGAAATAACAAACGTGAGTGGTGCTGAATGGAGACGGCTACTGGACCAGTCTCGTATCTCTTGTCCCTTAGGAAACTCTAGCAATCCTCTTGAGACAAGATCTTACGTGGATTATCAGAGGTTAAGCTGCTAATCAACCAAGATGTGATCATCTCCCTTTAAAGAATATTGCTACTCTTGAAGAAAAAAAAATTTTTTTTTAAAGAGCAAACAGGAATTTTATGCAGATAACTTACATTCACCTAAAAACTTGAAGATTGCTGATCAAACGCAAGCCCGGTAGTCATATTTCCTTCAAACAACTGATTTCAGTTCCTTATTTATTCTGTAGCTGATCAAAACATGGTGCCCTAATTTTCAAGTTATGCTTGTCAGCCCCAGGAGATCAGTGAAAATTTAAATTCCATAGATGAATCAACAAGTCGACAACGTATCTCTGCAGATGCATCTCTTCCCACTGACATGCACCAAGTGGTCCTTCAATATAAGAGTTGCCTTTTCGTCTCCAAATGGAGTCAATGAAGGATTGAATCTAAGCTGCTTTTTTCCTCCTGACTCTATAATCACATCAACAATAACGTTCCCCAAGAAAATGTTGTCGCAGAAATTATAATGAACATAATGTAGCTGGTTAGATAAACAATACTTACTTTAAACCCACACCTGACCAATGAGTGAAATACTAGTAATGTTACATTACTATCAGGAATAAGAAAGGCACCTACTCTACTGCTAATAATTATTGTTTTGGAAATTATAGCTAATATAATGAAACAGAAAAACTCAAGTAGGTATAAACATCAATAAGGGAGATAATGTGTATAAGTTACAGTGGTACAATTATTAAATGGGAGATTCCAGAAATAAACAATGTATACATTTTCAGTTGCATGCAGTTCTGAGTGGGGTGATGAAATCCTGGGCTTTCCTGCTCCACCCGCCTAGGTTGACAACTGTCCACCTGTCCCCACCATATACACTGTCCTTTCATTAGATAGTCACCACATGTGCTGCTGTTATATCACAGGGCTTGTGTTCAAGGAGCCTTATTTTGCTGAATAATAACCCCCAAACACAACAGTAGTGTTGCTGGCAACTTGGACATGCCCAGGAAAAATAATGAAGTGCTTCAAGTGAAAACCTGGAAGCTCTTGACTTAAAATAAATAAATAAATAAATAAATAAATAAATAAATAAATAAATAAAAATAAAAACAGTATAAGCTGAAGTTGCTAAGACCTACAGTAAGAACAAATCTTCTAACAGCAATATAGTGAAGAAGCAAAAAAAAAAGGAAGAAAACAAGGGTGAAAAAACCCATGCCACAAAAATGATGGCCACAGCGTGTGGTAAGTGCTCAGTGTAAAAGGGAAAGGTATTAAGTGGTAGGCTATGGTGCTGCCCACAGTTTCAGGCATCCATTGGCATCTAGATTGTTCCCAGGTGATAAGGGCATATGTATGTGATTGTACACCAAGGAAATCAAAATTATTCACCCCAAAGCAGTAGAACTAGTGTCACGATGACAAGAAAGTGTGATAAAATAAAGCATTCCATTAATTTAGCAGTGAAAGTAAAAGCCTCAGAAAAATAAGATGAAATAGAAATAGGCTGGAATAGCAGACAGAGGACAACCTTGCAAAACCCCAGAGTGCCCCACAGTCCTGAACCCCAAGAACAGACTGGAAGATTAGATGAAAGACGATACGCAACACTGGATTTTCTTACCCCTTACTGGTACTCTGGCAAGTGGACTGTCGGACAGCCAGCCATTGAAGTCCACGCCTTCGTAAAACCAGAAGACAGAGCTGTAGAAAGACAGGGGTTTCCAGATAGCAGGATCCCAGGAGGAGCCCCAACACAATGAATCTCCACAGTCATAGGTAGCCTCGTCTGAACACCAAGGACAAGGAGACCGTGCCCGCACCTTCCACGGGGAGAAACACAGGCCACAGAAATGGGAATTAGATCAGTATCTGTTGTCTCACCAGGAACTCGGTGTCAAGAACCTACTGGAACTCAGACTAGGCGGTTCCAAAGGGGTTGTGTTTAACCTAGAAGACTACGCCTAAGCACCCAGCCCTTGGCCTCGAGACCTTGTGGAGGGCTGAAGACACACTCTTAGAAGGGGTTCGGAACAATGTTCTCTGGGCTCAGGGACACCAGACACCTCTTGGACCAGGTTTGGGGTCATCTCAGAAGTGGGGTTCAAGTGGAAGTTGTACACACCAACCACAAGGGTCCCTGCCCCTTCCCCAGATGCCTTCCAGAATACTGGTAGAGAAACTTACTTTGTGCAGGAAGATGCCTGGGAGGTTCTTCTACAAGGGACTGATGAGCCCAAGAAAAAAGACAAGCTAACATTTAGAGTGGCACCCATGGAAAGCTCAGGTCTCTACTCCAGCGCCCCAGGGCCCACCAGTCAGCAACTCTGCATTTTTCTGTACCTCACACTTATACATAAACAGACACACAGGATAACCTCACATTTGAAGGAAGCTACAACAGGAAAGAAAGACAGACACAAAGCCAAACAAGCTGAGAGGGTCTGGACATAAAGACATAATGACTACGGAGAGGAAGAGGGAAAATCTTCCAAAAATATTCTTACCAAGATAAGATCTTCACCCATCAAATAAGAATGGGAAGCTCTGAAATTATTATTCAGTGAGTAAGAAAAATGCATGTGATGTCAAATTATGATGTTAGAAAATTAGAAAACATATCAATTAGAAGTATGAAAAATTAGCTAAGAAAATCTCACAAAAAGTAAGACAAAAAGACAAGGAAATTACCAACATGAAGAGATATAAAATTAGAAGTCCAACAATCTAAATATCAGAAATTTTAGAAAGAAAGAATAAAGAAAAATTAGGGAAGACCTCATAAAAGATCTTGGTATTCGTTTCTCCCTTTAGAAATACCATCAGTGTCCATTCCACTAAATTTAAAATAGCCCCACTAATTCATATATTTTAAAAATTATTTTGAAAAGAAATCTTAGCGATTTGGTAGGGAGGAGGGAACAAAATAAAAACAGACCAGGAAAAGGCACCTGGAATGTAAAGAGACCACTGGAAGACCTTAAAGATCTTCTTCTATGAGAAAGTATTCCTAATGTAGAATTCTAATTTATCCAAAATACCCATCAAGGGGAGTGTAGCATAAACGGATTTTTAGATGATACAAATTTATTAGTAGGGTCTTAGTGTGTTCCTAGAACTTGTGCTTTATCAAACAAAAAGTAAAACAAAGGGCTGGGGATATAGCTCAGTTGGTAGAGTGCTTGCCTTGGATGTACAAGGCCCTGGGTTCAAACCCCAGCAGCACCACCACCACCACCCCCAAAAAAAAGAAAGAAAGGAGGACACTGGTGAGATTCAATGAATGTCAACAGAGGTACCAGGAATTTCCAGACAACATGTTCAAGGAAGACTCAAAAGGACAGCCACATACCAGACCCAGGGAACCCTCAGTCCAGAGAGACAGGAAGACTTTCTGAAACAGATTGAGGTTTTGAGAAGAGTTCACAGTTGTGTGGATGGTTTAGTGATTAATTCATGAAAAGTTTACAGAAAAACACATGAAATAATGTGTAAGATTCAATAGAATAGGAAACCCCATGGGAAGTAGAAATTTACCAGGAATTTAAAATCTGGAATTCAATAATGAACAATGTTTTACATGAACTCTGATCAACTCCAGGGCCAAAGGCGTGAGTTGTGATTCCATCAGACTCCTCTGAGAGATGAGATGTGTGCTGGAGGGGACAGATTCTGGGAAACTTCATGGATCTCCAGCATAGGAAGATGACCTCAGGTTCAATGTAGAAGAGGCAACTAGCTGCCCCTTTGGTAAGAATGGAGAGGGTGGCTGTTTGTTTACCCTGGTAGAGTGACAGGTGCTACTGAACATAGGTGCCTCCAATTGGTAAACCAAGCATCCATGAATGTGACTCTAACTCTGTTTAATAGGGGTCTTCTCAGGTATCTCTGATCTCCCTTCATGAAAGAGCAGCCCCTCATTCCCCATGCCTCTCTCTCAGCATGGTTCTGACTTACAAATTTATTGCCCCTGATGGAGAAATCATTCTGTTCAGTCACTGTCGGAGCCCCTCCATTCCAATCAGAAGTGAATATCAGGAGGTCCAAGACTTGGATTTTATTTGTGGTGGAACTGCTGGCACTTAGACTCACACCTAGAACAAACCTAGAATAAATAGCATTTTTAACAAGGAATACAAAACATATTCTACATTGGACATTTTATTGTTTATGGGGTTGGTATTTGTTTATTTTAGGGTGACTTTTTCCACCTTGACTGAGATACAATTGATAAATTTTGTGAATGTTCAAGGTATCTGATGTCATGTAACTTGTCCACATCATGAAGGATTGCCACAATCAAATTGATTAACACATGCATCAGCTTACATGGGTTCCAACATTTTGTATGGTGGGAATACCTCAGATCTGATTCCTTAGTAAATTTCAAGTAGACAATATAATATTTTTAACAAGAATCAACACATTGCAAATCCCAGAACCTATTATCTTATACCCAAAAGTTTGTATTCTTCGTCTGACATCTATTTCCCATCCCCATTCCCTGGTAACCACCATTCTACTCTGCTGCTTCTGTAAGTCCCATTACTGTACATTCTATATTCTGTAAAAGTGACATAATACAGTCTTTGTCCTTCTGTGCCTGCCTCGTTTCCCTTAGCACAGTAGGATTTTCCTTTCTTTTTATGGTTGAATAGATTGGATTATTTATAGATACCACTTTTCTTCATCCATTCATCTGTCGATGGACACGTTTCTCATTTCCATAATCTGGTGATTGTGAACATGCTGGAATGAAGGTAGAACTGCAGATACCTCTTGGAGATACTGATTTCATTTCCTCCGGATACACATCCAGAGGTGGGATTGCTGGGTCATATTGTAGTTCCATGTTTAATAGGTTGAGTAACCTTCTTTCTGTTTTCCATTTCTCCTACCAAGGGTACACAGGTTTCTTTTTCTCCATATTCTTTTTCTCCATATTCTGGATAGAGCTTGTCATCTCTTGCTTTTTTGATCATAGCCACCCCAAGTGATTTTTATTGTGGTTTTGTGTCGCAGTCCGGCTGCAGCAAAATAGCCGGGGGGTGACGAACAACTTGTGTATATTGATACAGCAGGAGTGGGAGCCGTTTATTGAAGGACAGGAGGGGTATATATACATTCCACACAGCTTATCTAATTAACATAAACTAGATACAGCAGTCAACCAATAAGGAATCTCCACACTTAATGGCTCGCTGGCGTTACTTCACAAACCACTCCCCCTGGCAAAATGCCAGGTGCCATCCAGACTTGTTTACAGACTCTAACAGTTTTGATTTGCATTTCCCTGATAATTAGTGTTGGTGGGTATTACTTGTAAGCTATTTATGTGTCTCCTTTCTTTTTTGCTTTGTTGGTGCATTATATGTCTTCTTTTGAGAAATGTCCGTTCAGAACTTTTGCCTGTTTTTAAATTAATTATTTGTTCTTAATATTTTTGAGATTTCTTTAACATATATTTGGATATGAACCCCCATCAGACACAGGATGTGGTTTGTGATTTTTTTCCTCCCATTCCATAGGTTGCGTTTTCATTTTATTATTTCTTTTGCTGTGCAGAAGTTTTTCAGTTAGATACATTTTTTAAAAATCTTTGCTTTTGTTGTCTGTGGCTTTAGTGTCATATCAAAAACATCATTGCCAAGACCAATGTCAAGAATCTTTGTTCCTATCTTTTCGTCTAAGAGTTCTATAGTTTCAGGTCTTACATATAAATCTTTCATCCATTTTGAGTTCATTTTTGTGTATAGTACAATATAAAAATCCAATTTCATTTTTTCCTTGTGGATATCCAGTTTTCCCTTTGAAGAGATGGTCCTTTCTCTGTTGTGTATTCTTGGCACCCTTCTCAAAGACTATTTGACCACATATGTGTATTTCTGGGCTCTGGGCTGTATTTTGGTCTATTGGTTCATGTGTCTGTTTTTATACAAGTACTGGAACAGTGTTAATTACAAGAGCTTTGAAACACAGTATGTAATCAGGAAGCCTGGCTTCTCCCACTTGGTTCTTCTCTCTCAAACTTACTTTGACAATTAAGGATAGTCAAAGTTAGCTTTTGGTCATATATGAATTTTAGGATTTTTTTCCTATTCCCATGAATATGTTATTGGAATTGCAATAGTGACAGCATTTAATCTGCAAATTACTTTGGGTAGTATGGATATTTAAACAATATCAATCCTTCCAACCCATAAAAATGGGATATCTTTCCATTTACTTGTGTCTTTTTCTAATTCTTTTCATCAATATTATAGTTTTCAGTGTACAACTATTTTATCTCCTTGATTAAATTTATTGCTACATATTTTACTCTTTTTGATACTATTGGAAATGACACCATGTTATTAAGTTCTTTTGGGGATAGTTTGTTGTTAGTGATGGAAACATGGCTAATTTTTTATCCTGCAACTTTACTAAATTAGTTTATTTGTTCTAAGAGATTTTTTATAGAGGTTTTAGTGTTTTCTATACATTAGATCATATGATCTGCAAACAGAAACAAGTAAACTATTTCCTGACTATGTGAATGCATTTTATTTCTTTTTCTTGCCTAATTGTGAGGACTTTTTGGACTATGTTAAATAGAAGTGGTAAAAGTGGGCAACCTTCTTCCCTTGTTCCTGATCTTAGAGGAAAACTTTAGCTTTTCACTGTTGTGTATAGTGTTAGCTGTGGGCTGGTCATATATTGCCCTGTTATGTTGAAGTACCTTCCTTCTACACATTCTTCATTAAAAATTTTTGTGATAAAGGTTAATGAGTTCAATCAAATGCTTTTTTTTCTATCTATTGAGATACATGAATTTTATTGTTCATCCTATTAATATGGCATATCACATTTATTAATTTTCTTATGTTAAGCTATCTTTGTATCCCAGAGATAAATCCAACTTGATCAGTGCATATGATACTTTTAATGTGCTATTGAATTCAGTTTTCTAGCATTTCATTAAAGATTTTTGTATCTATGTTCATTAAGGATTTGGACTCTTAATTTTCTTTTCTCCTGATATCCTTCTCTGATCTTAAATGGGTAAATCTGGCCTTATAAAATGAGTTTGGAAATGTTATCTACTTGTCATTATCTTTTTCAGAGTTTAAAGGAATGGTGTTGATTCTTCTTTAAATGTTTAGCAGAATTTACCCATGAAGCCACCTGATACTGGGCTTTCCATTATTGGGAAGTTTTTGATTGCCAGTTCCATCTTCTTACTCATTACTGGTCTGTTCTGATTTTCTATTTCTTCATTATTAAGTCTTGGAAAGTTATACTTTTCTAGGAACTCATATATTTCTTCTAGGTCATCTAATTTGTTGGCTTATAGCTGTTCATAGCAGTTTTATGATTCTTTGTAATTCTGTGTAATCAATTGTAATGTCTCTTCTTTCATTTCTGATTTTAGTCTTCTCTTTTTCTTAGTGTAGCTGCGATTTTATCAATTTTGTTTTGCTTTGCAAAAGCCAACCCTTAGTTTTGCCAATTTCTTCTTTTTATTTCTTGTCTTCATATCATTTTCATCTGCTCTAATATTTATTATTTCCTTCCTTCTGCTTGATTTGGGCTTAGTTCCTCTTTTTCTACTTACTTGAAGTACACTATTAGTTGGTTCATTTGAGATCATCTTTCTTTTTTCTTAATGTACATACTTATCACTGTTAAGTTCCCTCTATGAACTGCTTTTGCTATATCCTGTAAGTTTTTGTATATTGTATTTCCATTTTTATTTGTCTCAAGATGTATTTTGATTTTCCTTTGGATTTCTTCTCTGACTCGTTGGTTGTAAAAGATATACATTGTTTAAGTTCCATATATTTGTGAATTTCCCAATTACCTCCTTGTTACTGATTTTTAGTTTCCTAACATTGGGAGCAAAAGAAGCTTCATATGATTTTCAATCTTATTAACTTTATTAAGCCTTATTAAGTCTTGTTTTGTGATATAATATATTCACATTAGGTCTTAAAGTATACTTTATAAGTTATTACATAAAACTACATTACTATTTTTATTTCTATTGCACTTTTTATTTTTGTCTGTTTTGATGATTTTTGCTTTTAAAACCAGAAGCACTGTGAAATTAAAATTTGACACACTTTGAGCATCTCTATGTTGTGGAAGAAAGTCATTCAATTCAAAATCTCAGAGGACTCCACTATCATGAGATATCTGTCTTTCTAACCGAAACAACAGTGTGTGAACATTGAGAACATGCTCAGACT